GGAATTTCGTGACAGACATACAGAACGACAGAACGACACACGACACACGACAGACGAAGCGCTTTTATATAGTAAGTAGGATAACCAATGCAGCATCCTGAACTTCGCTAGCGTACCAGATAATTAATACCATCTGAATGACCTAACTGTAGGGCAGAGAAAGGGTAAAGCTGGAAACTGAAGAATCCAATAAGGATTGGTCTCGTCACATTCATTTGCAACCATACCTCGCGTTTGTTGTGGAGCGTCTCTTCTTGAATTCTCAGCTTCTTCCCTTATTTGCGCTTCTCCGTTCTGCGCAGTTCTTGCAGTTACTGGCGTTTGTGCATCCGTTGTTGCCATCCTTAATCGCAATGAAACTCGGGACATCCATTGAGAGGACACGAATAAGAAATGGCAATGAAAATTATCTCACCGTTGCATTTGATCCTCAAGTCGGACTATTCTCGTCTCTATTCTCTTTTGCCAATCCGCCAACTGTTCCATTTCTGTTAGTAAGATGGTATTCTGCGTTCAGCTATGGACAACAATTTCAAGCACTTCATAACACTTCATGGAGCAAAAGCAAGAGCTTTTCGAGTTGTTCGGGTTACGCAATCTTTCAAACAAATTCGAATTTTGAGGCAGATATGTTGGGTTGGAGCACAATATCGTAGCGCTCGCATTTTTTGTTTTTGCACACAAATATAATATTTGAAGAAAAAACAAAAATATCAACTAATCAGGGAAATTCACCCTCGTCATTCATATTAATCTATTTTCAGAAAATCAACCGGACTAGAATTTTAAAGGAATCTTGCGCGGAAAAATCATGATTCTATTTCAGCCATAAATCACTGGCTTGAGACTCATTATCCACGATAATAGTGAAAAGAACTGAAGTATTGCTTTCGTTGATTGATTCGAAAACTCGAAAAGGCTGCTACGCGTTCGAATTGCCCACGGACGTCTTTCACGAATGCTGGCGACGGGGATGCTCAAACTTGGTTCTTGGAGTGCATTCACTAGAAGCTCTTTCTGGCCTTCTGCTTCGTTGCATTCACATCTTACACTTCTACTCCATCCTATTCCATCGATCGATTTGTCTCCACTCTCCGAAATCGCGCGCTTTAACCCGATTCTCTCATTGCGTCGCCTGGTACGTAGCCGGCCAAACGCCGTCTTCTTTCCATGCCTCGCCTGGCTCTGCCTCCTGGTCCTTCGATGGTCCATAACGTGTAGTTTTTGTACGTTTGTTTCTCTTCAGAAAACCGAATCTTCATGCGTGAAACTTTGTGTGCTATTTCCAGTGATCACAACTGACATATTCATGTTAGGAAAGAGTGCAAGAATTTTCCGCGCAAGATTCCTTTAAAAAAGCATTCATGGGATGGTCGGAAGTGATACGCTAGCAAATCCTAATATCTCAATTTGATACGGCAAGAATATGGTCTTAATTTGCGCTGAAGAGGTCGGGTTGGTAGGAATAAGTTTCGTAAGAACAATGAAATTTAAAATAGTCTCGTTTTGACGTTTTTGTTCCTTTTTCGTGAACCAAAAAGTAGCAGCTGTCGAAGTGCCGATTTCAGCCGCCTCAATTTCCCGACTTCTAAGCATTATAGTATATGACTTCAAATGTAGTTTTGAAAAAAGTGACAAATTATTTTTGTAGAGCGGAAAAACCACTTTCAGATGGTTTACGCGATTTTTCGGGTCTTACTTGTTCTTGAATTTATGCGCTTGGAAAAAAACACTACAATGTTACGCTTCAACAATACAACCAATACATACAGTCGTCCGCTGGGAATAAAAGTAGAGTCGCTGAGACAGTGCAGCTGTGCAGGTAGAGAAGTATTAATGGAAACGGTCTGAAGCGCGGAGTTCACGATGAAAGGGCTCCTGGAAATTTAAAAAAAGAAAAAATGGCCTAGATTCCGGGAAACGGAACCCTCTCCTTTTCCGTAGATTCACGCATTGATGCGATATCATCGGTTTGCTAGTTAAACGGCGGTAACGCTCATTTTTGCTACTAGACGCTGAACTCAGCACGACGACGGACGCTGGAGGTACCAGGGTCAGTCCTATCGTTGTTACTTTTTCAAAAATTTTTACGACCCCCCTCCCCCAAGGTGGATTTGGTACGACCCCCTTTTCGACCCTCGACCACCATATTCCTCATAGTATTTAATTCTGGTACCACTCAACCCACCAAACTCCGCCCACTTTTTCCTCCAAAAATGCCGTCGAGCGGGGGGGGGGGGGGGTATATAGCCACTCTGAAACAGTAAAAATTTACCAAAATTCCCTAAATTTCAACCAATTTACCCCCCACTTCTACCTATAATCCCACTGCTTCATTTTCTAGGGGGGGGTATATACGCGCGCTGAAACGGCGAATTTTTCTCCCATGCGCTCCCAACTCACCTAGCCTACTACTCGTGAAAACTCCACTTTCACCACAAACTCACATGTAATTTCACGCGACTGAAGCGGATACGACCCCCCCCCTCCTATAAACTCAACCAGGTACGACCCCCCGTTGTTACTAGTAACAACGTAGGGTTGACCCTGGCCCCCACGAGCCCATCGCGCGACAAATCAGAGACGCTGGCGCGGCAGGAGGACGAGTCGCACCCCATACTGTAGCGGTTAGGCGTCAACTTCAACGCATTATAGTACGTCCCACACCACTCACACCACGGCGTAGGCTCAAAAATGCGATATCTGCTTGGTCACGCCGGTTATGCTCGTTTTCTTTGTATTAATACGTCCATCCAGATTCATTTACCCCCCTACTGCTCCTTTTTGATATGTTTCCTGCCTTTCCTCGCCGGAGTAAACGAATCAGAAGGACTTAAAGCAACAGTCCCAGCAGGGTGGGCGTGGTCGGAAACGGCTGCAATCCCCTCGGCCGATTCCCACTTCGGAGCTGTTCAGCCCCTAGTCAAGAACGTAAGAAGTGTGACTGAACAAAAACTCACCTTGGAAAGCCGCTAGGGAGGGAGCTGAAGTGGGCGTGGTCGGAATCGGCCGAGGGGATTGCAGTCGTTTCCGACCACGCCCACCCTGCTGGGACTGTTGCTTTAAACAAAACGAGCAGAACCGGCGTGACCAAGCAGATATTGCATTTTCTGAGCCTACTCCGTGGTGTGAGTAGTGTGGGACGTACTATAATACGTTCGTATTAAATGACGCCTAACCGCTACAGTATGGGGTGCGACCAGAGTCAACCCTGCGTTGCGCAGTTTTCAACGGCCACGTTGCGCAGTTTCGCCCGATTAGACACGTTCTC